TAAACAAACTCTTCCATTCAAATTTTTAAAGATGTCAAATAATTCGCTTTTAACATCCTCAATTTTTTTTAAAATCCTATTTCTAGTAGTATTTCTTGAAAAACTTTGATATTGCGGTGCAAAACTTTGATGAATCATTTCTGTAAAATCGGGACATTCACTAGTAGTAAAAGGTTGTTCTTTTTTAATAATATAATCAATTACAGAATTTTGTGCACGTATAGGATCATATGAAAATATTTGTAAATTGTCAGTTGATGAAACAACTAATTGCATTTGACTTTGAATATCAAGTTGTTGACTTTGTAAATATTTGTTAGCATGTTTTTTTAGATGACTAGTACCCCCTGCACATGCAGCACTAAGTAAATGTGCATAGTATTTACATTTTGCTTTAAATGTAATTGTACCATCAGAATTATTTATAGATATTTTTTCAAAATGTTCCTAAATACTACTACTTCTGCTCCTAGATGATGTTCTAACTGTTGAAAGAGGGATATTAAAAGGAGAATCAACAGATTCATGTTGTGTAGTATATGTATCAACGTCAACATAAACATAAACATTAGGCATATTAGGATCTATAATAATGTAAGTAAAACAATATATAAGAATTAACAATTAATTTAAATAATGTGTAAATACAATCAGTAAAAAATAATAATTAATATATGTGCACAAATAATTAATAAAAAAAATGAGTAGTTAATAAATTTAATTAAACTAATTAATATTATCGACTAGTGAATGCAATACAGAAATTTGCTTCTTCTGATAATTGAGAGTTGAGAGAGATTGAAAGTTTAGGAGAGATTGAGAGAGTTTAAGAGAGAAAAAAAGAGAATTATTTGTTGTGAGATTTATTTTGAAAAATAAAAGATATTTATAGTAATTTTAATTATAACCGTTTGTATATTACCGTTTGAAACTTGAATTGAGTGATTGATGAGGATAGGCTAGTAACAGCCAGCCACTGACCCAGCAGTGTTAGTGACCATTTCTTTCTTTTTATCTCTCTAAGACTCTTTCCTTCTTCTACGGATTGCTGTCAAAATAATGTAAGTTTATAACTTAACATATATCATATGAATATAGGATAAGGCTTCATAGGTACTGTTGGGCCCTGGGGGTCCACTACGGGTCCCGTTTTCATAATCGAAATCGTTAAATGTGTAGAATTCATCTAGTATTATATGTCTGTAAAAAATCACATTGATCGAATATCGATAGCTACCTGATTGGATTAGTTTTTTGTCAACTATTAATTTGTTCACCGTCCATTTTTTTGAAACAAAACTGATATGATAGTTATCGATAACCGATCAACGTGATTTTTTACAGTCATATAGTATTCAACGAGTTCTACAGGTTGATGGTTCAGATTATTAAAACGGGACCAGTGACGGGGCCCACGACCCAACATCATTGTCCTAAATATCATGTGCATCCACCTTATTATTTGTACCATGGACATGGTCCATGTAGTCTGCCGATTGATTAAACATGTATATATATATCAAACTAAGAGCATGTATATATACAAATATATATATATATATATATATATCACTGTAAATTAACCAAATAAGTATATAATTCTTTTTTAAAATTTGTGTTTAAAAAATCATAACCCAACGCAGTTTAGTTTGATTTTATTTTAATAAATTATTATTATTTTTTGTTTTTATTTTTGAATTATTAATATTATTTATTTAAGGGAAAATCGGTCTAGGGTCCCTCTCCCACTTTTCGTAATGGAAGAGGTCCACAAAATTATATTATGATGTCTAAGGTCCCTACAGAGAAATTTCATATCCCTCACCCTTCAAACCTCCATAAACCAATTCGATGATTTGTCTCCCCATTCTAGAGAGAGAATCTAGAGAGAGAGAGCGCCATAGTTGCATTGCAGATCTGTTGAACAGACATGGAGGCTGCCTACTTCAATGATTCTCAACGTGAGGCAACAAACGATGATGGTGTAATTGTTGGACTCAATGTAATGCGTATCATCAATGAACCCACTGCCGCTCCTTCTTGGCAGCCTCTCGGATCAGATTATCGAAGAAATCTTCGATTGTTATCAGACATATTCACCCCCACATGTATTGACTTTGCCCAATTCCAGTATGGCGTCCCAGAAGTCCATCATCCACCGAACCTCATTTTAGAGAGAGAATCTAGAGAGAGAGAGCGCCATAGTTGCATTGCAGAGCTGTTGAACAGACATGGAGGCTACCTACTTCAATGATTCTCAACGTCGGGCAACAAAGGATGATGGAGTTATTGCTGGACTCAATGTGATGCGTATCATCAATGAACCTACTGCCGCTGCCAGGCGTCCATACACGATTGCTTGAACACTGGCCATTAGTTTCGCTATCTCTCGACCTGAGAAGCCTTCTGTCTTCTTGGCAGCCTCTCGGATCAGATCATCGAAGAAATCTTCTATTGTTATCAGACATATTCTCCCCCACATGTATTGACTCTGCCCAACTCCAGTATGGCGTCCCATAAGTCCATCATCCACCGAACCTCATTCTTCGAATCTACGAATCTCTCACTCCTCCACCACTATAAACGAGATTGAAAAACATTTTAGAGACAAACCGAGAACAAGACAGAGTCTCTATATACAAACCCATGCCAATTTCAGACCCTTGGCCTCATTTTTAGCAAACTCATTTCCTATAAACAAGAAAGGGACAAATTGAGAGTGTGAATCTGAGGAGTTCTTACTTTAAAAACCCTGAAAGCTCTGAAAATTGAAAGCACTTTGCGTATACATTGACTTTTCCATCTCTTTGCGAATTTCTCTAGGTTTGGGAAATTTATTTGGCTTAAGTGAATTTCTTTGGGTTTGGAGAAGAGAAATTTCTCTGGAGAGAAGGGAAGGCCAGAGAAATTTTCTCTAGATGGCCAGAGAAAATCACAGGGATGAGTATGTGATTTAGTTAGAGAAATTTGGAAATTTCTCTGTGAAGTCACCAGAGAAATTCTCTGTGTGAAATTTGATATTTGATTCTACAGAATTCAGGTTGTAGAGTTGGTAATAATTGTTGATTTTGCTAAATTCGACTTCACAGAGAAAATTGGTGCAGGGACATACCTTCCCTAGACTTTCCATTGCAAATTTCTCTGGTCTTCCCTTCTCTCCAGAGAAATTTTTTTCTCTGGCCTTCTGTATATTTCCCACTCTCCATTAGAATTAGGTAAGGATAGATATACTCTGAAAAATTTGTAGATAAGTACAACAAAAATTTATTGAATTCATTCAAAGAAAATGATAGGAATTTCCCAAACAAATTGTAGAAATTCTGAATCAATATCAACAATATAGCATATTCAAACAAGATGAAGCACATTACAATTTCTCTAGAGAGAAGGGAAATTTCTCTGGAGAGAATGGAAGGCCAGAGAAATTTACAGTGGGAATTCTAGGGAATGTTAGAGAAATTCTTCCCAGAAATTCTCTGGACCAATTTTCTCTTTGAAGTTGAATTTTCTCTGGAAGTCTAGGGAATGACTTCTTCTCTTTCTTATCTATGCTAAGGTATGGCAAAATCTTACTATCAACCACCTCATCTTGTTGAACTTGATCTATAAAGAGCACTAGGATTAGCAAACAGAATTTTGATAGTAACCCTTCATGAAAAGATATTTGTAAGAGAACATATAAAATGCACGATGATGCAGAGTTTCCTGGATTGTGTGAATTTTCTCTGAACTATCTGAATTTTCTCTGGATGTTTAAATTTTCTCTGGACTATCTGAATTTTCTCTGGATAAAGAGAATTTCTCTGGATGTCTGGAGAGAATTTCTCTGGAAAGTCCAGAGAAATTCTCTGGACCGAATTTTCTCTCGATCGAATTTTCTCTAGATTGATGTTGAAGGACCTTAGACATTATGAAAATATTGAGTGTCCTTTATACTATAAATTCTTAATATCAGGGACCTTAAAAAAAATCCCCCTTTATTTAATTGTATAAATTTTTTATTTTTACAAGATTACTATTTTTTTATAAGATCAATCTTTTTATTTATTTATTTTTTAATTATTTAACCATTACAAGTTGTTTTTTATTTTTTAAAATTTGACCATTGAATATTGATATAAAGAGGGCCGGAGGGCCGGGCCGCCCGCAGGACCCGAATTTTTTTGGACCGAGCTAATGGGCCGGGGCTCTAAAGTGGACGGCCCAGGCCCAGGCCCAATGTACTGGATTGGACTTGGGCCCGGGCCGAAACAGGCCAGGCCCACTGCAGATTTCGAACCACCCACAGATCTCCGACCATTTTTACACCCCTAGTGATATTGTGTAAACATTACAAAGAAAAATGATGTAAAGCATGTGTAATATGACGATAATTCTGGACCGAATTTTCTCTGGATCGAATTTTCTCTGGATTGATGTTGAAGGACTTTAGACATTATGAAAATATTGAGTGTCCTTTATACTATAAATTCTTAATATCAGGGACCTTAAAAAAAATCCCCCTTTATTTAATTGTATAAATTTTTTATTTTTACAAGATTACTATTTTTTTATAAGATCAATCTTTTTATTTATTTATTTTTTAATTATTTAACCATTACAAGTTGTTTTTTATTTTTTAAAATTTGACCATTGAATATTGATATAAAGAGGGCCGGAGGGTCGGGCCGCCTGCAGGACCCGAATTTTTTTGGACCGAGCTAATGGGCCGGGGCTCTAAAGTGGACGGCCCAGGCCCAGGCCCAATGTACTGGATTGGACTTGGGCCCGGGCCGAAACAGGCCAGGCCCACTGCAGATTTCGAACCACCCACAGATCTCCGACCATTTTTACACCCCTAGTGATATTGTGTAAACATTACAAAGAAAAATGATGTAAAGCATGTGTAATATGACGATAATATGAGAGGCCCATCAACCTTTATCAAAAGTAGAATAATTGACGGTGGATGAGCTTCAAAGTACAAATATAATAAATCTATTTCCAGTGCAATATAAGACTATCCACATGGCGTTGGCCTTGGCCTCTTGAGCAATCTCAACACTAGAAACTAAAGCTTGAAGAGGAAAAAAAGAAAAGAAAATAATTAATTCAATGGAGAAATTTGCTCAAGATTTGAAGGAGAGATTTCTTCATCTGGTTGAAGCCATCAGATCTTGCAAAACTGCTAAAGGTAAGGGCAATTATTTCAGTGTAATTGCCATTAAAACTGTATTTAAAAATTTTAGATTTATAGATGAAAAAAAATAGAAGAGAAAATTGAGTGAAATAGAAATCCTTGTTTTTTTCTTCACAAATCAAAATCTAAACATAGCCTTTCAGAAAGCGCATTACTTTAATTTTCTTTATCTATTTTGTGCCTTCAATTCTAGAAACTGAAATTGGAGAGGAAACCAATTTGAAGACTGTGAAGGTATGGTATTATTTATCTGTCTTGAATATTTTACCTTATGTTAGATTTTAAATTTGTTGAAGGAAAAGTAAAAGAAAGAAATTTGTGAAAAGAATTCAACTTTTAATCTTGTTATTGTTTTCTTTAAATTTCACAAATTTAAGATCTAAACACTACCTTAATGTTCATATGCAGAAAGTCAAGGTGCAATCTAGACAACTTAATATCACAACAAGGGGTCCGACAACCGCAAAAGTGTCTGTAGGTGCTCCTCCTCAGACCGATTAAAGTTCAATCAAAGGCGATGTTTTTTTTCTGGATTAAGGTGATTGAGATTGTGAATATAATAAGATTGAGGGATGTGATTATTGGCGTGGTGATATTAAGTTGGAAATGTGTAAGATGAATGTATTTATTTGTATAGTAGTGTGATGATATTAATTTGTTTTGATTAAATCTATGAAACTACATAAAAACTTTCATTATGTAAAATATAGTTTTGTTATTTTGTAAATTGAGGACAAAACAGTCTTTAGATTAGTAATCCCAATCTCCTTTGAAAATCCTAATTCCACAATTTGGGGGGATTCATAGTCTATTCCTAGTTGTCATATTTGTACAATGAGGTGAGAATTTCGAGACACGATTAGGAATAGAAAATATATTAAGAATAAGAGAGCATGAATTTTATGGAAAATTATTTGTAACTATGGCACTACGTGACTCATCATTAATTGTCTTAATCTCAATTATTTTTCAATCACCAACATAAATATCAATACGTCTCACTTTTTTTACTAATCATATTTAGTTTTGAGGCATTACAGAGCCATGCCCATTCGACACATTAAGGAGTGTTTGGAAAAAGCTTCATATAGTTAAAGGTTACAAAATTTATTTAAAAAGTCAAAACAATTATAAAAATAAAAAATAAAAATTCTTCTTATTCTTTATGCTTTTACACAAATTATTATTGTTTTTTTTTTGTTTTCTGTTTTTTTTTTTTTTGGTAAAAATCTAAAAAGGCTACAAATATTTCAGTTTCTTTGGCTTCATATTTAGTTACAAAATTAAAAATTATTAAAAAAATCACTTTCCAAACACACTCAAAATAACTTCTTGAATTTTAAGGAGGGAATCCCTGCCACCATTGAAGTGATCACCTGGTTCAAAGTGCGTTTTATCCAGGGTTAGCATAGAGTAATGTTACGTCTTTCATTTTTATTATCTCAAATTATTAATTTATTTTTTAAAAAATAATGATTAAAATAATATAATTTTTTTATTTTATCATTCTTTTAAATTTATATATAAAAAATATAATTATAACAATTGACGGTCTAAAAAACAAAAAGTCAAAAGGTAATTTTGGAAAATTAGTATTTTTGAAGTATAATAATTTGAGATGGAAGGAGCAATAGAGAAGGCATTATATTCTCCTTTGGATAATTGGTGTGACGCCACAGCCCAACTAGCTAATATTTACTCATTGTTTATGTTTTTTTGTTAGGACTGGATCTTGTGGGGAGGGTGTTGTTTGGATTTGTAGGTTTTATTATGAGTTTTATTTTGATGACTTGAACTACTTATTTTATAGAATCTTATTATTTAAAAATAATAATAATAATAAATTAGATTGATCTGATAATCGTAACTTATTCAATTTATTACGTTTGTCATAAAAAAAAAATGGATGGTCTATTTTAAAAAACACATTTATCGTCTATTTTTAAAAAAATAAATGTAATAAATTAAATAAATTATAATTTTTTGATCAATTTAATTTTTTGTGTAAATGATATATACGATAAAATGAACAATTTAAATTATCAAAATAAGACTTGTGATAATTTTCACAAATCTAGACAATATCCTACAATCTAAATCATACATCAGGAGACAACTCTTTTTTGTTAAGCCCTTGATCATTTTTCTACTCAGATCTAGCGGTTTTTTTATTTTTTATTTTTTTTATTTTTAATATGACTTTTAGAATTGCAAAAAGTCAAGAAAAGTATATGCATTTGTGATTTAACAATAAGTTTCTGTTTCAATCCACATTGGTAGAAAGGGCCATATGTTGGCACATGGCTTCCCATGGATGGCTAGAGGTTTGAACCACCAGCAAGTGTGGCTGGAGGAGTTGATGAACCTGTTGGCTACATATTTTGTAAAAGCCAGTTACAGTTCGACACATGGCAGAGTAAGGGTAATAAAGGAAGGTTATTCGAGCCTTTAATCCTGATCGTACACGTGGCAATAAAGATTGATCCTCACATGATCTGAGTAACACTAGATCAGTAACGGGATGCAAGATGACGTGTCTTCAACGGTTACTGCTGGCACGCTCACATTCACAAAAATACCCTTCGAAAAGCCAAAAAGCCTACAGAACCTAAAGGGTCTAGGTCCCTAATCTCTCCCATCCTCCGTTAGCAAAAGAGGGCAGTGATCAGACAAGGATCTAGGCAAATCCTAAAGTTTGAACCTAAAGGATTCAAGCCATTCAAGATTTAAGATAAACCTGTCAATTTTGCTCCACCTATCACCATCCTAAAAATTGCCCCATGTGTATCTTCTACCCAGCATTGGTAAGTCTACCCCTTCAATTTGGGGGGATTGGCAGGTTTCATCCTAAAGAAGAAGCTGCAAGCTCCAAAAATGTGTCTGAAAAATTAGAATAAGGAGGTATTTGGCAGCATCAATGAAAATCTCAAGTTGAAGGAAGCTGAACTTCACTCATGGGACTTGATAGCTGAGGATAGAATTCTCCGAGCTAAGGAATCTGCTAGAAGGATGGAGTTATTGGGGGAAGTATGGAAGTTGAGAAAGATGGAGGAAAGTTTATGGCTTCAGAAATCTAGGCTCAATTGGTCATTGAAAGGTGATAAGAACACTAGGTTTTTCCGTGTCACTGCCATAAGCAGACAAAACAAGAATTCACTTGATTCAATAGAGGTTAATGGGGTCTCAGTGGTGTAACCTGCTACTACAAGAAAAAACATATTTGACGACTAAATTTTTAGTCGCCAAAAGTCATTTTTTCGTCGCCAAAAGTCGATTTTTTAGTTTCCTCGACTAAATTTTTTAGTCGCCGGTTTGGTCCCCGGAAGACGGTCGGGAAAGGTATTGGTGACTAAAAAAATTTTAGTTCCCAAAAAGTAAGTCTTTAGCGACCAAAACTTTGGTCGCCAATAGTTAATTATATTTTTTAAATTATACATTTACCAACCAATGTTTTAGTCGCCAATAGTCAATTATATTTTTTAAAATTATACATTTATCGACCAATATGTTAGTCGCCAATACTCAAGGAATCGGCGACCAAACCTTTTAGTCACCAAAAGCTCATTCGTGAAAAAAAGAAAAATTACACTCACTAGCTTCTCATTTGCTCTTGTGGAGATTTGAACCATCAACCTCTCACACCATAAACTTTATACAACACACTCTTTCCCACTACACCTTTATAGCACCACATGATTATATATGCAACATATATTATTTATATAGTACATAGACCTATATTAATATAAAAGTATATATATATAAATATAATTATTTTTTATTGAACATAATTTTATGTAAAAATAAATTATTTACTAGAAAAGAAAATAGACCACTTTTGTCAACTAAACATAATTTTAGTCGTCAATTCTATACTTTTGGCTACTAATTATTTTTTAGTCGTTAAAAAATTTACTTCCTGCGCTAAAAGTATTACTTTTAAAGCCTCTCTTTTGACTACTAAACATCTTTTTAGTCGCCCAAATGCCTCACTTTTGGCTACTTAATTATTTTTAGTCGCCAAAAAGCCTCACTTTTGGCTACTAAATTATTTTTAGTCACCAAAAAGTCTCACTTTTGGCTACTAATTTTTTTTTAGTCGGTAAAAGCCTCACTTTTGGCCACCAAACATCTTTTTATTCGCCCAATGCCTCACTTTTGGCTACTAAATTTTTTTTAGTCGCCAAAAAAGCCTTACTTTTGGTTACTAAATATTTTTTAGTCGGTAAAAGCCATATATCAGTGACCAAATAGATTTTTAGTCTCCAAAACTTATACTTTTGGCTACTAAATTTTTTTAGTCGCCAAAAATCTTTACCTTTGGCTACTAATGCTTTTTTAGTCACCAAAACCTATACTTTTAGCGACCAAATGTGCTTTTTTAGTCGCCAAAGATGCTTTTTCTTGTAGTGTGCTGAAGTTAAATCTGCAGTTGTGAATCATTTCAAATTACTCTACTCAAAGCATTGGCAAAGTAGGCCTAGATTGGGAGGGCAATTCAACTCCATTAACATTCACAATATTACACCTGCTATGTTGGAAAGTGCCTTCTCTGAAGATGAAGTTTGGGCTGCTATTAAGGGCTATGATGGAAACAAAGCCCCAAGTCCTGATAGCTTTCACCTATCTTATTTTCCAAAATGCAGGAAATTTATGAAGCATGATATCTTAAACTTTATGAAGGAGTTTCATGAGAATGGTATTTTGGCTAGAGGTCTCAATTGCTCATTTGTGAGTCTTATTCCCAAGAAGGAAAACCCTGTGTCCCCATCTAACTTTAGACCTATTAGCTTGATAAGCTTTATATACAAAATCCTTTCCAAGGTCCTTACAAAGAGACTGAAGCTTGTCCTGTTTAACATTGTGAGTGAAGCTCAATCTGTATTCCTTGGAGGTAGAAATATAATGAATGAAGTGCTTATTGCCAATAAGATCGTGGATTGGTGGAAAAAATCAAATAAGCAAGGGGTGATCATCAAGCTTGATTTTGAAAAAGCCTTTGACACAGTGAATTAGGAGTTCGTATTTGATTTGCTTGTCAAGTTTGGTTTTGGTTCTAAATGGCTGTGATGGATGAAATCTTGCTTATCAACTGCATGTATTTCCATTCTTGTCAATGGCTCACCTACAGATGAAATTCAATTGGAAAAAGGGCTCAGACAGGGCGATCCACTCTCTCCCTTCCTCTTCAATATTGTAGTAGAGGGGTTGAATATGTTATTAACAAGAGCTAAGGATATGGGCTTAATTAGAGGGGTTGTTGTTGGACCTAATGGGCTAGAATTCACTCACCTACAATTTGTTGATGACACTATCCTATTCTGTGAGGTAGATTAACTAGAAATCACATCTCTAAAGAAAATTCTTAGATGTTTTGAAATTATGTCAGGTTTGAAAATAAATTTCCACAAGAGTGTAGTTTGTGGAATTGGCGTCTCTGAGACTTTGGTCAATGATTTCTCATCAAAACTAAATTGTCTCACTCAGAAGCTGCCATTAAAGTATCTTAGACTTCCACTTGGTGCTAATCCTAGAAGAAAAACAACTTGGAAACATATTATGGATAAATTTAAAGGTAAACTTTCTGGCTGGAAAAGGAGATTTTTATTGTTTGCTGGAAGATTCACCCTCATCAAGTCAGTTTTATCAAGCCTCCCAATCTTCTATCTTTCTCTATTCAAAATGTGAAAATGCCAAAGTGTGTAATCAAGGATGTGGATAAAATTCAAGCTTCTTTTCTGTAGGGAGACTCAGATGTCAAAAGAAAGGTTCATCCGGTCAATTGGAAAGATGTTTCAATGACAAAAAATAAAGAAGGATTAGGTGTTAGAAGTTTAGGGCAAGTTAATGAGTGTTTACTTGTTAAATGGTGGTGGAGGTTCTGTAATGAAAATCAAGCCCTATGGAGAAGATTGATATGCAGTAAGTATAGCACCAGATCAAGTAATTGGTTCCACTCCCAAGGTATTATTACTAATTGCTCTCAGATCTGGAAGGGCATAATGGGTTTAGCATAAGGTAGTCTTGCTTTACTAAATTATTTCTTAGTTAACTCAGAATTAGTTGTTGGTAATGGGGCCAATTTCACTTTCTGGAAGGATAGTTGGCTAGATGGTGATTGTCTTCAATCTCATTTTCCTAAATTATTTAGTCTTTCTTCTGATAAAGATGGTTCTCTTGAAGACTTTATGGATAGGAAAATTAGTTATTCCAACTGGAATTTAACCTTTAGGATGCCTCTGTTGGCATAGGAAGAGGAGGAAGTCCAAAACCTGCAAGTCTTACTGGGTAATAGGCCACTAATAAGGCATGGGGTGGAGGATAGCATGAGATGGAAAGGTTCTAGTCAGGGTGTCTTCAAATCTAGTGAGTTATTTTGTTGGCTACAGTCCAACAGAGGTTTAGATTTGTCTATACCTAAATTCATTTGGAATAACATCACACCACTAAAAGTACAATTTTTTTATTGGCTGGCTTGGAAAAGCAGAATCAAAACACCTATATTCCTTCATAATATTGGTGTTCTTAGAGGGAAGGTTGTCACTCAATGTATTTTTTGTAAAGAAGAACTTGAGATCGTAAATCATGTATTGCTTCTTTGTCCCTTTATCTGGAAAATTTGGTCTAACATCATAGATTGGTGGGGTTTATGTTGGGTATGCCCAAGCTCTGTGGTGGACTTATTTGATTGGTGGTCTGGCACTAAAATCAGGAAGAAGGAACTCCAAATATGGAATATCATACCACTTGTTGTTCTGTGGTCAATTTGGAAGCTTAGGAATGATTGTGTATTTAATAGTGCTCATCCTAACTTCATGGAGCTCTGTGAGCTTATCAAGATTAGAGTTGCAATTTGGTTGAAGAGCCACTCATTTGGGAACTCCTATTCGATCCATGATTTTGTATCCAATTTGAACCAGATTAGAAGCTACATTTGATGGATTAATTACTTTGCTGCTGTTTTGTTCTGCTGTTCTGTTGTACTATTTTGTTGTTCATCTGTTCTGCTCAATCATTTGTTTTGCTGTTCTATTTTGTTCTATCTTGTTCTGCCTTTTGTTGTTTGCTGCCTTGCCTTGGAGCTGCGATGGAGGATGGCTGTTTGTTTTCTATAGGTAGAGGAGCCTCATGGAGGATGGATGTTTGTTTGTCTGATATTTTTATTTTTTATTTTTTATTATAGCTCTTCCTTTGTTTCTTTTGGTTGGTTCTTTGTTTGTGGTTGGTTACTCACCAATTCTTGATGGTGTACTAGCATATGATTTGACGGACTTATCAGTGCCAACCTAGTTGAGATTGGTTTGTTTCGTTATGATGCTTTTGTACTCTTCTCTTTTCTTTATTGATGTAATTCACTCTTCGTTCATCAATAAAGTAATTCTTTTTTGCTGATAAAAAAAAAAAGTGTGGATGGAGGAGGTCCCGCAATCCTTGATGAATGTTGCTGCTTTTGATGCTGTTTGCTAGTTGTTTTTCTCTGTAATTTGTTTACCATCTTTAAAAAAAATAAAAAAACAAAAAAACAAGGGATTTTCTATAATTTAAGAGGGAATTGGAGGGGGTGTATGTGGGAATTATCACGTTTATCATTTCAATAATTTATAGTGTTTATTTTATAAAATTTTATGTATAAATCATTCATAAAATGAAAAAAAAAAAATCTGATTGGTTGCGTATTCACAATCATATAATTTTATTATATTTATCTTTGTAATAAATGAAAAGTGTAAATTTTAAAATAAATCATTCATTTATTTTTCTACTCAAATGGTATTTTTACATGATGCCTTCCTTAATTTTATTTAGTTTATATGGTGAGTTCATCATACTTTTGTTGGTATTTTACGTAACAACACAGAAATATGACATTTAGGAGTTATTTGGGATGACCTAAATAAGTGCACTTTTTGTCTTTTTACGAAAAGATGTGTAAAAAAGTAGAGAGATAATGTGATGAAAAAAGATAAAAAAATAAAAAATGTGTACTTATTTAGAATAGCCAAACATAACCTTAGTGATTAGTTTAAGATACTGACATGATACGCTCTTATGTCTTATATACTTCTGTCTTTTGAGCAGTTGTAAGGAGACGCATGATGTATAAAAAACAAATATAGAGCATCGTGTAAAATGATCATAATATGAAAGGCCCATCACCATTATTAAAAGTGGTACCAATTGAGTAGTTTTTGACAAAATGGATGAGCTTCAAATAAAATATTTCCAAAAAAATATAAAAATAAGCACATGGTGTTGGTCGTAGGACTGATCTTATTATCAATCTGATCAACAGCTAGGCATTAAAGCTTGAAGAGATAAAAAGAAAATAATATTCTTACAAATCTCATTTGCCAAACTCAGAGAAAAGAAAAATTCAATGGCAAAATTTGCTCAAGATCTGAAGGATAGATTTCTCCGTCTGGTTGAAGCCATCACTTCTTGCAAAAGTGCTAAAGGTAAGGACAACTATTTCTATGTATTTCCTATTAAGGTTATGTTTGGATTTAGATTTGTAGAGGGATTCATGGAGAGAGAAAAATCGATAAGAAAAATAATTTTTTTTTTTTTTTTTTGCATAAATCCCTTTTTTTTCTTTTTTTATTATTTATTTTTACTTCACGAATTTAAAATCCAAATACACGTAGAGAAAGTGCATTTACTTGTGTTAATTTTGCTATTTCTATACTTTGTGGCCATAATTCTTGGAAATGAAGATGGAGAGGAACCCCATTTGAAGACTGTGCAGGTATGGTGTCTTCTAAATTATGCATAATCTTTGTTTATCTATCATGTCAAATCAAGCTTTTGAATGCCCTAAGTTATTTGACATAAATTCCCCAATTTTTTTATTTTTGTACTTATTTTTTGTTGTTGTTGTTGTAATTAACTCTAATGAACTGCACCAAACAAGAACGATATTAAACTTACATGTTTTAATTAAAGTTGATGTTGATCTACAGAGAGCAGTTAAGGGCCCAACAAAGCCCCCAGTGACCAAAGGTGCTCATCCTCAGACTGGTTAAAGATCATTCAAATCAAAACAGCTTCAAAGTTCATAGAGTGGCTTAATAATTTGTTGATTACTACTTGGATATGTAATTTTTTGTTTTGCATGCTTTGTGTAGATTGTTATCAGGTAGATATTGCTTTCTTTGGAATTATATCATCTTTATTTGTGGATTAAGGCCATCTCCAACGGTGCATCAAACTCAGCATCAGATTTGAAATTTGATGAAACAGTCATTGTTTGTGTCTCCAATGGTTTTACCAAATTGATATCAAAATGAGAACAGAACAAAACTTTCATCAAACTGAGAACAACCTTGCGATTTCAGTATTTCACTGTGCTATAACGTTGGGGTGGGTCGACCGGTCAACCAACCGAATGTCCAGCCGGTTGACCCACCGATCAACCGATTCCCTTTCAAATAAGTAGGTTCAAATAGGGTCAAAAAGATTCAAACAGGTTTAAAAAAAAAAAAATTTCTTTCCTTACCAATCGACTGGCCGGTTGACCCGCTGGTCGACCCACCGGATGACCCTTCCCTTTTGATGTACCGTTGGAGCAAGCTATATCAGATTGAGAAAATCAACTATTTTTTACTCAGATTTGATAAAAAAAGTAATGAACCGTTGGAGATGCAGTAAGACCAAGTGGGATGTGTGATTTTTTCAATGAGGCTCCAGATGAGTCAAACTCAGTTGTATGTATTGCTTCTCTTGATTATATAAAAGCTGTTTTTATTTTTCAATTTCTGTGATAGGGATAAAATTTTGGAAAACTTATCGGTTGTGTAACCATATGTACTCCTGCTAAATATTTGTGATATATGTTGTGTATTTTTGTGATAAATATTATTATTTTTTATACAATTATGACAATTTGTGATTAAGTTATTTATTTTTTGGTTAATATGACGTATTTTTGTGCTAATGTTGTACATTTTATAGTTAGAAAATGTTTGGATAAAAGAAAAAAGGTAACATTATCGCAAAAATATGTAACAATTCCATAAAATACGTAATTTCATTTTTGGCCCCATTTGGAAACTTGGCTATTTTAATTAGCTTTTTAGTTATTTGACTATTTTAGCATGTTTAAAAAAATTTGTGTTTGGGATATTTTTTATTTTTTTTTGTAGTTGATTTGATGATTGTGAAATAAAAAATAAAATTATTATAATTTGAATATGATATTTTAACTTATTGACTATTTTACATTTTTGTCTTTATTGATTAAAATAACCAAAATTAGCATAATTGAGCTCATCACAAACACTAAAGTGTCATAACTTAAAAAAAATAAATTCGTAACATTTATCACAAAAATACGTAATAAGGATACATGGGATAGATTTCCTAAAATCTCACCAAATTTTTTTTTTGTCTTTTGTTATTATTATTATTTATTTATTACTTTTTAAGTCCTAGAAAGCCCTAAAATGTTTTTAAAAAATGGGTAAACTTTGAAAAAGTTCATTGTATATATATTTGTATTTTATAAACAAATTTTAAATTTGGTTCAGAATTTTTTTAAGAATCATCTAGTTCAATAAGATCTGAATAGTAAAAAAAATTAATAGTTTTTTATTTAAAAATCACTAAATATAATAATAAAAATAATAAAAATACTTAAAACGTCATTTGCCTGGAAGAAGAGCTCAATTGTTGACCCTAGTTGAATTGTGACCTCTCTAAGCTCCACTTATTTGACTTCTCAACAAGTAAAGACAAGAAAGGTTTTCAATTCAACTAGCTAAATTTGAAATAGAGGGTAGGACAAACTCATAACTAAGGGAGGAGTTGGTTTATGAAATATGAAAAATTGGCCTTGGCCAGGTCAGCCAGCCTAGCAAAACCCTATTGGGTGTTGCTAATGTTCCAAAAATAATGTTTTAAGTGCTATTATTGTGATTTGGAAAAATAAGAAAACTTATTAAAGAAACAGAAACAAAAATTATAAATTTGTAATACAAAGATATAATGACAAAAATGAAAATCTACAAAACTTGTAGCTTGCTAGTAAACAAAAGGTGGCCGAGATTAGTGTTGGACATTGTCTTTTTAAGATAAAATTCGTTCATTATTATAGTATTGCAAGGATAATAGACGTTTATCTCTTAAGACGAAACTATTAAATCACATAAAAATAACACTAATATTGTGTGTTTATTGAACTAATTATGATATCACTTAGATGAAAACTATACGTATGCAAGGAAAAATGAATGAATTGAAATGCAAGAAGAGGGATTATTTGAGAATTTAATTTTTAAAATTTTTATGAAAAATGTGTAATAAAGTAAAAAAAAATTAATTTGACTTTTTATAATAATTTTTTAACTAAAACACTAATTTCCTAAACAGCCAATCAGCTTGCTTGGTTGTGTTTTTTCAAAAATACTTTTTAAAAAATTCTACTTTCCTATTTTTTGTGTTTTTTTTTATTTTTACTGAATTTTTTTAATATTTTAAGTACTTTTTTTTTTTACTTTTTAAACATACCTAACATAAATATACCTAAAAAGTAAAAAAATTGTGAGAAAACCTTTTAAAAATTCACTAAATACCAAAAATACAAAAAAAAAAAAAAACGAGAATTCAGTACATTTTTTATATTTTTATGTATTTATTAAAATTTTAAAATATTTTTTCACAAATTTTTTACTTTTTAGATATATCTAAGTAAGGTATATCTAAAAAAATATAAAAAAATATTTAAAATTTTAAAAATATTCGCTAAAAACAAAAAAATACAAAAACCAAAAAATTGAATTTTTAAAAAACTCAAACCAAATATACTGAATAAATTTACAGACTACATTATGACTGTTAGAAGCAGTCATGGATAGTAGTGTATGTTTCAAGGAAATACCATTACACTTATCACTTTTTTAGTAAAATTAAAGCGATCGAAATTAATATAAATAGTAGTTAGATATTAAAATAAATAAAGACAAATACAAATTTTAGAATAAAATATGATCATATTATTCAGTATATTTGATTTGAGTTTTTTGATTTAAGTTTTTTGAAAACTCAGTTTTTTAGTTTTCGTGTTTTTTTATTTTTAGTGAATATTTTTTAAATTTTAAATATTTTTTTTTACTTTTTTAGATGCACCTTACTTAAATGTATCTAACAAGTAAAAAATTTGTGAAAAAATATTTTAAAAATTTAATAAATACATAAAAATACAAAAAATGTACTGAATTCTCGTATTTTTTTTTTATATTTTTGGTATTTTGTGAATTTTTAAAAGGTTTTTTCACAAATTTTTTACTTTTTAGATATATTTATGTTAGGTATATCTAAAAAGTAAAAAAATTGCTTAAAATATTAAAAAAATTCAGTAAAAACAAAAAAATACGAAAAATAAGAAGGTAAAATTTTTTGAAAAGTGTTTTTAAAAAAACACAACCAAGCAAATTATTTTTATTTATTCTACTAGTATATTATTGTTAAAAAATCATTTAATTATTGTGTGAATTATAATTTTATGAAAAATTAATAATTATATTAAAAATATGAGATTAATGTAATTCTTTTAAAAAAAGTCGGTTTAAGGTCAAGTTTGGGAAGACTAAATAAGTGTACTTTTTGACTTTTCTTGTATTATGTGTAGAAAAGATAGAGAGGAGATGTTAATTGATGTGACCTAAAAAAGATAAAAAGATGAAATAAGTGGACTTTTTTAGTTTAGCCAAACTTGACCTAATTTTCTACTACTTATTTTTTAATGTCGTTCTTAAGTAGGACCACTAGTACGCCATATGCAGCACGTGTGCGCGAGGCTACGCTGTAATTTCTCAAACTCGAAGTGGGTAGCCAGCCGGAGGGGAATATTCAGCAATCACTTTTAATGGCTTGACTCATTGATTCTTTGGAAATAACTAAAATATTATAAAATAAAAAAAAAGTAAAAAAAAAATTGAAAGTTTTATTAAATTTTTTATGAAAAATCTCATATGAACATGAGACTCGCAGGCGTGGGTTTCTATATTTGATAAAAAAAATTAATAAATTTTTATGATCTATAATATTATTTAAAAATTATAATTATTTTATTTTTTTTCTCTTACAATCATTATATTCAAATAAAAATTTTAATTTTTTTTTCATACGAAACTAATTTTAGTCAAATTATTAAAAAATTAAAAAGTTAAACTAAGGCATCTTTTGATGAAGGGATTAAAAATAATTTTTTTAAATCACATTTTTTTTTTTTGTTACAGGAAAATCCTTCCTACCCTCCCGCAGGTCCAAGGCAGCACCCCATTATCAGAGTGTCCTGTTAGCCGTTCCGAGCGAGGAGACTATAACTTAAAAACTTGTCCCAACCTCCCAAGACAAGTTCTGCTTAAGTAAGGATTCGCACAGCGACGGAACATTGAACTCACACAAAGTGCTGATTGGACAACTTGAGATCCAACCTCCTAACCAACTATGCTTCGCTCAAGAGATTGGCCCAAGGGAGAGGGGATTTGAACATGTGACCTTGGGACATAAAAAATCACATTTTCTCTTTATATTATTACACATTTTTAAAAAAAAATAAAAAACAATTTTTAACTTACTATACAAAAACAAGCCTAATTCATTCTTTTGAAACGAAGGAGATTGAAAACCAAGTTAACGAACAATTTGAGTGCCACGTATACACTCCGATCCACCTCAACATCCCACCTAACTAAAAACTTTTCCATAGACGTGTTCTACTCAGCCACCACGTAACATTCCAAAACTCCCAGATTCCATTCCACTGAATCGTTCGGAACCCCCAATTTCCCATCTCTTCACAATTCCTCTCTCTCTCTCTCTCTCTCAAGGCGATGGCGGTTAGGCCGGTGTTTTGCGAGCTGAGTTCGACGAAACCGGCGGTTCCGGTGCAGGTGCAGAGAGTGAGGGGAAGTGAGTTGTCGCCGACGACGACTGATAACGTGAAGATCGTGTTGCAGCCTCGTCTCTGCACCCTCAGATCCTACGGCTCGGATCGCCCTGGGGTGATGAGGACGAGGAAGGACGGTGGTGATGAAGTATCGGCGTTCTTCGCGACGTTGTCGGATTATATAGAGAGTTCCAAGAAGAGTCAGGACATCGAGACCATCTCTGGTCGTCTCGCCATGGTATGTATATTCCCAACATCTGTTTTGTTATGGTTGCTCTCTTCACTATTATGTTTCAGACTCTGTTTTGTAGGATTTTAGAGTAACATTTTGAATTGTGTTAATCTTACTTTTAAGTATTTTATGGTAATCATAGAAATTTTTTTAAACAAAAATTATATCTAAAAATAAAAATCAATTTCACTTTTAATTTTTAAAGTGTGCATTTTTTTATAATTAATTTGTTCTCCAAATTTTAGAATTGTGTCAATTTATGAAAGATTTTTTTTTTTAATTATAAATTTTAATCCGACAAATATGATTATGACGATAAATCTTGGCTCTATAAGTTATAGAATTACTTCAACACATATTTAATACTACTGTTTTAGAAAATGAAACTAACACAATTAAAATATTTATATTTGAAACTAAAATCACAGAAAGTGCCTTTTATGAACTTAAAACTGTCATTAGTCAAATATGTTTGCAGAAGAGAATTGGAACTAGTTCCGATTGACTTGTTATGTTGAAATATCAATAATCAAAAAAGAACGATATAAAGAAATAAAGACATGAAGTTTACGTGATTCGGCCGTGATGACACGTTATACACTTATGTTGTGTTTGGTTGGGAGATTTGGAGAGGGATTTGGAAAGGGAAATGGAAAAGGTAGGTGAAATGTGAATAAATCATGCCTATATTTCACATAGTTTCACACACCTTTTCCATTTTCCTTTCCAAATCACTCTCCAAATCCCTCAACCAAACCCGCCATTAGAAGAGAAGAGAAGATCAATAAAGTTAGTCCGGACACTCAATCATTAAAAAAACAAAAAGAACACAAGATCAATAGCACTGTTTTACCAACTCGCCAAGTGCGTTATTAAACAGGTTATTTCAAAAGAAATGCACTAAAATTACGAAACAATTTGTGTGAAGATTGTGTTTGCAGTGACATTGACAACAGAGGTGGTGACAGGAAACTCCTTGTTTAGGAAAATGGAATTACAAGGGATTGCTGAGGCAGCAGGGGTGTGTTTTGCAGCCGTGACCTGCGCTGCTACTTTTGCATGGTTCTCCAGCGCTCGGAACAGAGTGGGGCGAATATTCACCGTCGGTTGTAACAGTTTTATCGACTCATTGATCGACCAAATTGTTGATGGATTGTTCTACGAACCAAGCGATTGGTCTGATGAGATGTGAAGCTTGGCTTGGTTATACCATTTTTAGAAAATATAATGTGAAAGAAGATACACAAATACTGCTGCAGAGTTGAGAGAAGCAGATTTGCAGTGACATTGACAACAGAGGTGGTGACAGGAAACTCCTTGTTTAGGAAAATGGAATTACAAGGGATAGCTGAGGCAGCAGGGGTGTGTTTTGCAGCCGTGACCTGCGCTGCTACTTTTGCATGGTTCTCCAGCGCTCGGAACAGAGTGGGGCGAATATTCACCGTCGGTTGTAACAGTTTTATCGACTCATTGATCGACCAAATTGTTGATGGATTGTTCTACGATGGTGGCGAACCAAGCGATTGGTCTGATGAGATGTGAAGCTTGGTTTGCTTGGCTTGGCTATACCATTTTGTAGAAAATATAATGTGAAAGAAGATACACAAATACTGCTGCAGAGTTGAGAGAAGCAGATAGTGAGGTCTGTATTGTATATATTGTTATAGCATTTGATGATTACATGTGAAATTGATTTGAGAAGGTTGGAAAAGAATATGCAACTTCCTGTTGCTGCTTGGATTATATGTCGATCAGGAATGAGATAATTCCTTCGTGAAATCAACTGCTATGTCATATATCTGATTCATAATTTGATTTCATTTGCCTTTGGGGAAAAAAAAAATGAAAATAGTAGAAGTTTGTGTTGTGATACAAATGTTTTGACAGCCCAATCTGTGAGCTAAAATGTTCTTTCAATTGCATTTGTTTTTTCATAAAAGGTATGGAGAAGAAATACTTTTGAGCATCAAAAGGATCAGAAGTTGGGAAGATAACAATTTCAGTGGGTATTTTAAAAGTTAATTACAAATCAATGATAAAGTTTATAAATGTTGATATTTAAAATTATAATTTTTTTTTTATAAATTCATACCCCATCTATCTCAAAATATTAGTCCTTTATTTTATTTCTTATTATTTTAAAATATTAGTCCATTTTTAAAAATTAAGGAATAAAATAATATGAATTTACTATTTTGCCTTTCTTTTAAATTAATAACACAAAAAGTATAATTATGACAATTAACATTCCTAAAAAAGTATACTATCAAGGGTAATTTTGTAAATTTAATATTTTTAAAATGTAATAATTGTACTATCAAAAAAATTAAATGTTCTGAAAAGAACTATTATTTTGTGATTGAAGGAGTAATAATTTTGTAAAACCATCATGTGTAATAATTTTTGTCAAGAAGTTTTATAAATTTTTGCTGAAGTTAGTGAGAGCAACTTTTAAAAGTTCCTAATTTCATTGAATTTCTAATTAGGCAAATTTTTTTAAAACTTGTACCTTAGGAGAAAAGTTGATAGGATTTTTGGCTATGTTTGTTTGGCTCTTTGGAGAGGAGAACTGGGTTAATAATCTGTTGGATTCACCTATAAAATGTTTGCTTAAGGATATGAATAGAGATTAACTATCCCTTTGGACTAGCAATCACCTCTGGAGTATGAATTCCATAGTTGAGTTGGGATTAGAAATTGAGTGAGAGGATGAGTAAATTTTTAAGCAAAATTTATATTTTTTAGAACCAAAAATAATAATTACAATATTAAAAAAATACTAAAAATAAAAATATATTAATTTTATATATTAATACTATTTATAGTATTACTAATCTGATGATGTACAAACAAATACTCAAATCTTATATCTTCAACTAATAAGGATACTTATGTGTAGGTCATAATAAGTGGACTTATTGTTTAATAGGTTCTATGAGAAAAAATTGTCATAAAAAAAGTTACTAATTATAAGTTTTAGCGACAATTTATAAAAATTATGACAAAAAAATGTTACTAATTGTCAATTTTTAATAACATGAAAAATTGTCACAAAAAAAATATCTTTACTTACAATTTTACAAAGATTTATTTTCAATAAAATTTGATGAGAATTAAATTCAACTATTAAAATCTATTGATAATTTACCAATAACCTTCTCATTCAATCGCATCGCACTTCTAATTCCTCCCATTTTATAGAACCAAATAAACGTAACCTTTGGCCCTACCCGAAAGAAGTGTAGAACTTACGGTTTTTCTTTTTATCTTATTGAAAAGAATAATGCTTGAGACCCCCTTTTGGGGGTCACCCCCTTTGTCACGTGGTGGATGGTGATTGGAGGAGCAGGGAAAAAAAAAAAAAATGTAACCAATGAGAGAGAGAGGGGGTCAAAGGGAGTGGGAGGAAAAGAGGGATGAATCATTGTTGTATTGAAAAATAAAACTCACCCTCCACGATTCATTTTGTCTTGTCCAGGAAAAATTATTCTATGCCACCAACTATCCGACTAGAACGCCGTAAAATTCATCTTAATCATTGATATGTGTGAATCCTATCGTTGATTTGTGTGAATCTTAAATAAAATTCACATAGCTCAATGATTGAAATAAATTTGTGACATAATTATATCACTATTCTCTTGCTTATTTGTATATGAAAAATATTATAAGTATTAAATTTTTTTCAAAATGAATAACTAAATATTTTATATAGACGTGAGGTCTATAAAAATATAGAACTCATACTTATGTAAGATATTTGATCATTTATTTAATTTTATTAATAAAAAAAAATCACATTACTGTCATTGCTAATAGTGAATAATTACTACTTGTTGAATAAAAGAGTGGGAGCCCATCATAGCTATAGATGGCAACCTATCGAATATTTCTTCGAGTTTTATGTATAAATTCTCAATTTTAAACTCAATTACTTTAATAATATAATTTTATGCTTTATTTTAATTTTGGTAGTTTTAATTCACTGATCGTTGTACTTGACTCTATCCTATTAATATTCTCTCAAACTTTTTCATTAGAATCAAATTAGATTAAATACAATTAAATCGAATAATTTTTTCATTTGAGCTTCCAAGGTTTGCTAATATAGTCCAAATTTGAGTAGAAAATTTTTACACGAACATATTTGACCAAAATATTAGAAAAGAATTCAAGTGAAAAATAAAATAAATAAAATTATGGGCATTCCCATGTGTTGATAGGAGAATGTGATAAAAATTACCACGCTGAAATGAATAGATGAATGTGAAATGTTGGTAAATTCTAATGTCGCTATGGTCTCGTTTGGTAGAACTGTGGGAAAGTGATTATAAATTATAATTTACAACTGTGAACATAAATTGGTAACCTGTTTGGTGCAGCTGTGGAATTATGGATTTCAATAACACGGTAGTACTTGATAAATAAGTTATAAAATAGTTTTTTACTGTATAATTGTCATTTTTACCCTTATAGACATAAAAATTATAATTCTTTTTCTTCTTATTTTCTTTTCTCTTCTTTCTTTTTCTTTTTTTCTTCTCTTCTTTATTTTTGTTAATTGTGATTCTGTTTCATTAATTTTTTTTCATTACAATTAATGATATAACAATTGTCATTACAATTAGTATTAAATTAGTTTCAATTAATATAAAAATTGATACATTTGATAAAATTATTTCATTATAAATTAATTAGTGTCAATTAATGGCTTATTTTTATTTTTTCATTATAAATCAATTAGTATAAAATTATTTCATTATAAATTAATTAGTGGCAATTAATGACTTTTTGTAATCAATTAATACTAAAATTATTAATTAGTAAATGAATTAGGTGTCAATGCTAATTAATATAAAAATATTGAAATTAATACTAAAATAATTAATACTAAAAATACTAAAATTATTAATTTTTGTAATCAATTTTAATAATTAATACTAAAATTATTAATAATAATGGCTTTATTATTATTTTTTTTTATTAAAAAAATACTGAAATTTGATCGGAGATAGTTCTAATCGGCGCGAGAGAGAGAGAGAGATCTGATCGGCGACGTGGCGATCGCAACGTGGGAAACGACGACGAAGGTACAGTGGTGACATGGGGAACGACGACGACAAACATAAAGCGGCGACGTGGCGATCGCGATCGCGATCGCCAAGAGAGAAGAAGAGAGATCTACCGCGATCTACCACGCGATTTGTTGCGATCTCTGGTTTATGTTCGTCGGAAATCGTGATCTGTCGCGATTTGGTGATCGCAATCCACCATTCGAACCTAACGACGAAAAACCCTTGGTTCGGTGGCATGGATGTAGCAGAGAGAGAGACAGAGAGAGAAGAGGGAGATCTCTGGTTCATGTTTGTCGGAAATCGCTCGAAATGGCAGGAAATCGCTAGACAGCTTTGTTGAAGAGACAAAAATGAGAGTTTTTTTATTTATATATATGATAGACTTGTAATTACTTGCAATTGTGAGGGGACTTTAAGTTATTTTGCCCCTCAAATTGTAGCTGCCCCGGTTAAGCTATTCTAAAAACCTTCTCCTCTCCTACTGAAAAAAAAAATTGATTTTTGATTTAAAAAAAAACTATAATCCGTATTATTAAGTTGAACTAAACATACTAAAATAACTCAAATTAAATTAAAAATTAAAATAAGTTGAAAATAAATTTTATCAAACAGGGCTCACTACAACAAAAACATACTTTAGTGGCACTACACTAGTGGCATATTTTTAGAAAATGCCACAAAAATGATATTTAGTGGCACGTTTTTGAAAAGTGCCACAAAACGACAAACATAAAAGGCTCTAGTGACATTTTAATGAACAAGTGTCACAACACTACAACAAAAACATATTTTAGTGACACCATACTAGTGGCATGTTCTTAAAAAATGTCACAAAAAGAATATTTGGTGGCATTTTTTAGAAAAATGTCATAGAGCCACAAACATACAAGGCTCTAGTGGCATTTCAATTAAAAAAAGTGTCACTTCACCACAACAAAAATGCCATTACAACAAATTTATACTTTAGTGACACTACACTAGTAGCATGTTTTTAGAAAATGCCACAAAAATAAAAATTAGCATTAAATGTTTTAGAAAAATGCCATAGAACCACAAAACATATAAGGCTCTAGTGGCATTTCAATAAAGAAATGTCACATCAATTTTATGACATTTTATAAAATAATGACACAAAAAATTATGTTCGAGACATTTACCAACAGATGCCACTAAACTTTAGTTGCAATGACATTTTTTAAAAAATGCCATTACAAATA